GCTTCACACTTGCAGCTTGACACACTGCTCTCTCCGAAACATGCCTGACCACCCAGGTCTTCTTCTGACATCTAGGTGGAAGCCTTCCTGCCCCCTCAACTCTTGCATTCTCCATACACCTAAAACCAGCACCACATGGATGACACCAAAATCTGTAGCCAGCTAGAGCAGTAGTCAGACTGCCTTCTCTCTTGGCTACGGGGGTCGAGTTCCTGGGTTGCTAAGCACTATGAACCAATCCTGAGGAACAACTTCTGTAGGCTGCTGCCACCTTGAACATGGTTTCCTTCACAAAGCAAAGTTTTTCACCCCCTTTTGTTTGTACTGAGAGTCAAACTCAGGTCTTGCTCTTGTGAGGCAGGCAGCAGTGGCGGTACCCCTGAGCTAAATCCCCAGCCCAGTCTTTCACCTTTGAGTCTCACCTTTGAGGCTGCAAAGGTTGGAGTCCAAATTCTTGTGATGTCCTCAGGCCATCTTTTCTATTGTCCTGTTCCTTCTTGACAACAAAAATTTCCTCTGCTCCATCTTTACAATATACAACTTTACTGGAGCTTTCTTCCCAGCTCAACTCAAAATGCTTTAAGTCATTCTGCTGGGTTCTTTGCTCTCAATTCTCAATATATATCTGATTAAAAGCTTCTAACAGTAGCCCTGCCACCACCTCAACATTAGACTCCCTTGAAATTTCTTCCATCAAATTAGTCTGCCATACTTAATCTCAGTCTCAGGCAAAGTCTCTGGACAAGAGCAAAATGCACACAAATTTTCTGCCAAAGCATAACACACATGGTCTGGAGCCCAACAGCCAATGCAATCCTTACTCCAGATAAAAACCTCCTGAGCCTGGTCTTTACCTGCAGCACTTCAGTCAATGTTCTGGTCTTCTGAGCTCTGATCAGAACCCACCACCAAGTTCAGCTTACAGCATTCCAGTTTCTTCAGCTGTCACCTCCAATCCTTTCAAACTCTTTCCACAAGCCAGTTCCAAAGGCTCCTGAATCACATGACCAGATAACATACAGTGATTATTCCACTTCTCTGCTATCAAAATCTATCTTACTTTTCTTGTTGCTGAGGCAAAATACCTGACACCTAAAGTTAAGTAGAAAAGGTCTCTCTACTTCAGCTTATAGTTTGTAAAGGATGTAGTCCATAGTTGGCTGGATTCAAGGCAGGGCAGTATAGAAGAGGGGTATCACAGAGGAGAAACAGTTCACGGTATGGTAGGCAGAAGGCAGCAAGCAGCAAGCAAACAGCCTTTCCCTTTTATCCCATTCAGGCTACCCATTTTGGGGGTGGTTCCACCCAGAACTATGCTAATTCCAATCAGTGGACTAATTTAGTAATAGACAGCCTTAATCCCAGTATCACACACCCTTAATCTCAGTATCACATAGTATTAATCCCAGTATCACACATCCTACATCCAGCCAGCTCTGAAAAGCCCCACCTATGCACACATGAGGTTTTGGAGAGGAAATCTAGATACATGCTGTAACAAACACTTAGAAGAAAATGGCAGGAAATGTTCATAATGTTGAATTGGGCAGTAATTTCTCTGAGATAGCACCAAAAATACAGAAAAAAAAAGATAAGATAACTTGGAATTCATCAATATGAAAAGTTTTTGGACATCAAAGGACATGATCAACAGAGTGAAAAGGCAAGGTATGAAAATATTTGCAAATCATATATCTGATAAACAATTATTATCCAGAATATATAAAGAACATCTACAACTCAATAGCAATAAGACAACATAAAGATGAGCAAAGCACTTCAACTGACATCTCTCTATAGATATACAAATAACTAATGAGCACATTCCAAATTCATTAATCTTTTTTGAAAAGATAAGTGATAAGTCAACCACAGTTTCATGTGCTGCAGTCTCAGCACTTGGAAGGCTGATATATGAGGACAGTCTTAAGCCCAGGGGTTGGATATGAATGTGGGTAACACAGTCCGACAACATCTCAAAGAAAGAGAAGGAGCAGAGGAAGAAGAATGATCACCAATCATTATGGAAATGTAAATAAATTTCAGCCAAAATAAAAACACCTCACACCATTATGATGGGTAATATTTTTAAAAACAAATAGCTGCTAGACAGGATGTAGAAAAATTGGACCCTGGGAATTGCTGATGGGACTGTAAAATGATGTAGCCACTGTAAAGAGAAATATAGCAACAGTTCCTCAAAATATTAAACAGAATGCCAACTGCATTTCTAACTATAAGTCCCGGAGAACTAAAAGCAGGAACCTGAACAGATAGCTATATGTACACCAATGCTTGTAGCAGCACTGCTCACAACAGCAAAGGTCTACTGGCAGATGAATGGATAAGCAAAATGTAGTATATGCACACAATTACAGATACTCGGCCTTTTTGAGGGAATGAAATTCTGACTGTGGGTGAATCTTGAAGAGCGAGATGAAGTAAGCCAGACATGAAATAACAAACATTGTGTGATTCCACTTTTATAAGGCATCTTAAATGGTCAAATTCATAGAAGAAGAAAGTAAAATATTGCTTACCCTTAGTTAGGGGAGAAGACAATAAGTTATTACTTAATAAATACAATGTTTATATTTGGAACTATGATGACAACGTTTTGGAAGAATGTAGTGATGTTTGTACAACATTGTGAATCTACTTAATTGCATTGAATTGCACACTTTAAAAGAATTAAAATGATAAAGTTTATTATATTTATATCTTACCACAATAGAAAAGAAGAAACAAATTATTCATTGTTCAAACAATATGAAAGTTAAAACTTCTGAAAAGCATTTGAGGACAAAGAATCACTCCTAACAGTGAGTCCCTTCATCTGACTGTATCCCTCAGCCTGTTTTGTTCGACACTGGTGAGGACACTATGTACAGAGGCACTGACCCCGCGGTGCCTCTGCCCATACCCATCCCTGCAGCCACTAAGCCTATTCCCACTAAAGTGTGCTATTTTCACCCCAAACAGTGCCCCTCCTGCCAGCCTTCCTCACAGTACAGGATCATATCCCTTAGTGCCAGGTCACCTCAGATGAGGGGCTGCACACAGTCATGAACCTGGACCCATGTACAGCACCAGAGAACTGGCTCCTTTGTGATCACAACCAAGGGAAATCTGTTGAGTCCATGGAGAGATTGTGGCCAGAAATCATGATAAAGCCAGTGCCAGAAAAGAAAATGGTTACAAACAAGGCCTGAAATTTAAACAAGAAATCTATCAGTGTTTTGTGAAAACAACAGTTTACATTTGATGTTTCAGAAAAATCATTTCATAAAATCAGCCATGGTATGGGGGACTGCACACAGGATCTTTACACTAAGCTACATCCCCAGGTCCCTCCCCACCCTTTTTTGAGAGGGTTTTGCTAAACTGCCCAGGCTGGGTTCAAATTTGAGATTCTCATGCCTCAGCCTCTCCGGAGTGCTGGTATTGTAGGCATGTGAATCACTTCCAACTTTAAACTGGGAAATCTTGATGTGAGTGATCATTCCAAGGGTCCTTGGAAAAGATCTGATTCTATGTTTTTGGTAAAGAAAAATTCAAATTTGCGTTTTCTTGTTATTCAAAAGTAAGGAAGTTTTTAAACTCTATGAAAAGACAAATAGATGGCTTACGAACAAAACAGGTGACAATTTCATCAAAGAAAAAGAGCAACTGTTATTCATTAGATGAATACATAATTATCTTCATTATTTTATGGGATACAAGAAGTCCTTAAATGCAAGAGAAGGAAGACCACAGTGAGAGGCTGATGTTCATGAATTAACAGGACTTGACTGAGGACTGAAAGCTTACCTTGGGTTCTGGACGTGTGGCAAGGAGGCAGGGTCCACCTTTGTTTACACCTATCAGCGGGGGGAGGGGAGGTAGCGAATAGGCGCGTCCCCAGCAGACTGTATCACTGAATGGCATAATCGGGTCTGTACCAAGAGCGGTACGTGTGTGTGTGTGTGTGTGTGTGTGTGTGTGTGTGTGTGTGAAGGTAGCTCAAGCAAGGGTGCTGGGTCATCCTGGCTGGGAAAGGAGGCCCCAGTGGGAGAGGTCTCTAGATTCTTGACAACCCGAACCAAATCAGACTACACCAAGGGAAGAAGCAGCAGCTTGTGTTCAGGGATCTATTTGTTAAATAGGGGTAAGGAGGGAGCCTCCAGACTTCAGGAAAGGCATGGCCTTGTCAACCACGGGAATCCTGCCCTCCTGCTCCGAATCCTCGGTGACACCCTGGCTCCAGCTGCAGAGGGGTCAGCATCTGTCCCCTCCGCAGAGCTGGGAGCGCACCGCGAGGAGGTACTGGACCCGAGGGAGGCAAAGCCACAGCCCTGCGGGTGGCAGAGACGAGACACACACAAAGCGAGCGGGCGAGGCTCCGCACGCACACGGCCCCGCAGCCCCG